CAGATAGAAGTCCCCCCTTCCCCTGTCTCCTACACCACTCTCAATGTGTCATGGGATTGTGATTTGCATAATTGCATGGCAATTGGCAGAGGAACGTGACCGCTCTGAAAAGACAAAAAAGATTACGCCAAGTATGACTTAGATGACACTGCCGCGTCAGTGCCGGACAAGTACAAGGGATATTCTAACAAATGTCAGTCTATGTTGAGCAAGGATTTGCAAGCAGGTACAAAAACGTGAAATTCTCCTGAACGACTTGGGGCACAAGTGTGTAATAAGTATGATTTATGATGGAACTAATCCCTGTCAGATAGCTCCGACATACTGAAACAGTCTTTCTCGCACGATCACCTCGAAGGCAATACTGGCATAACAGTAGTGGAGAGAGACAATTGCAAGCGGGATGAAAAGGGAGCTACATGCCAAAGCCATGTTTACATGGTCTTGATTAAGCCGTGGGCCACAAAGGGACAGTCAAGTTTCCTTAGGGTGAAGCGATTATATGAAATGTCTGACAGGATTCTCGGCATGATAATTATGGCCGAACATAGGGCTGGGCTTTGCTCTTGTGCTCTGCGGCATTGTCTGGGAGGTCAGGTTAGCCAGCCTTGTCAAAACAGTGTTTAGAAGCCACCTCACGCGCATCCGTACACTTGCACAAGACCACTAGCCATTAATTCTCATTAACAAGGGTGGGAATTTGGAGAACAAGCACAGGGGAGGCAGTCGAAGCTGGAGGCGGCGGCACGCAGCAATATCATCCACAAACTGCAGAAAGGCTCAGCTGTAGGAGGTGGGGTCTGCGTGCAACCGACTGAGGCAGACAGTTGTGTCCAAAGGGTGTCTGAAATACAGAGGCTAGTTTGAATACTAATGAGGCCATGCCTTTTGTGTTCACACGCAGAAGAGCATAATAATTCTTGCACATTTTACAACAACCTAGCCTTCTGTCTCTCAGACCTTTATATTTACTGAGAAGATTGTGATTAGATCATCAAGCAGGAGCATTCCCCACAGGTGGTAAATGATGAGCAGGTGACCCAGTGGAAATGCAATTTATGATCGTAAGTCACTTTCAAAGGCAGTCACCTCTTTCTCCTTCCTTGTCTCTCTTATTTAACTGCCTCCCTCTGTTCTAAAGAGGGCTTTCAACTACCACGAGTGACTGTGGCAAAAGGATTTCAAAGAGACCTCAGAACCCGCCCTATATCATATCTACTTGTCAAAATGAATTCTGCCGCCCAGTGAAGCACTGTTCCATTATTCAAATTGAATATCATTGCTTCAGAGGCTATGGGCTGTTTATCAGAAGCCTGTCAACTGTTAGAACATCTTCCAGACAGACTTCTTAACATGAAGGAGATGAAAAGTGCCCCAGTATTTTGATAACACATCTATTGCAGTGCTATATATATATAAATATATATACATATATACAAATCCATATAAATATCTTTGCTGAACAAAAAGCTAGAACTATAAAGCTGACATCTTAATAATACTGTCGACTGCATTGCATCTTATGAAGGAAAATCGCCCTGTGGAGAAGTTACTGAGTTAAACTACCACTACCTGCGCTCGATTGTAGCGTCACTACCATAAGTCAAAGACACACTAGTACAAAACATTTTGTTTAATTAAAGATTCATGATTGAAGGCAGGATTGAGGTTTTCTTGCTTCTTCATATGGAATCTGACGTGAAAGCTGAATCCAAATCTGACCACTGAAATAGTTGAGTGGTTAAAACTTTTATATGTATGTCCATTACTTAGACACGCAAATATAAATTTATACATTGGCTTTTCATCTGGCTGCTAATAATACTATTTCATCAGGTCTAGATAAGGAAGCCGTTATATGAAACGTTAAATAATCACATATTAGTTCATCTCTCTAAGGACATCACACTTGTTTAGTTTCTGAACAAGCTAGGGCACCAATGAAGGACATGCAAAGGTTAAATGTATTTCAGTGGTGGAATTTCTGCAGCTCACAATGTCTTCAACAGGGCATTGGGAAAGAATATGCTGCCCTTTTCAGACATGACTGCATATGTTTAGCACCTACTAACATGTATTTTACTGTAAATTTGTCAACAATTTGAATTCATATGAGTCCAATTTAATCAACCCAGGATGACGAGTTTGGGGAGTGTGACCATCAGAAAATTAGCACCTACCCCCAATTGGGCCACTTTTGCCAATATTTAGGGGTCAAAATTTATTTTAGCCATTTCTGGATTCAACTAACAAATTTTGATGTTAGGGCTGATTTAGACATTTGTCATGAGCCCAAATTGGACATGTTTGACTAAAGCTTTTATAGAAGCACTTTGGTTGTAATTAATCCCCCAAATAACTTTGTACTGGATACATTTAAAGTATTATAATACCGACAAAGACAAGACCTGAGTTTTGAGTTAAATGCAACTTTTGCTTATTCAAATCCCAGAATGCAATTTAGACCTATGTGTCCACTATAAAACTCTTCAAGCGTGTGTTTAGTAATGGTAACGACTGGATTTTAATGTTAATCTTGATGGAGGCTACAGGCTGAAATGCAGTGGTCAAGCAGTAAAGTTGTTCTTCATACTACAAATGTTGCTGCAACTTCAACTTCTAATGACTGGATTTTCAAAGAAAGGACCCATTTTCCCTCCACACTGACAGTTTTCTGTACAAAACCGACAAAATCGGACAATTTGTTCTCAAGCCTTCCTTGTGTATTAACCACTTTAATATGCCTGCGGCTCGAGCGTTGTAGGTGCAGTTACCTGAGGGCGTAGCAGCTTGTGGAGGTGCTGCAATGGGCGTGTCCACACTTAGTTTTCTCTTAGCTTCCATTACTGGATTTTCAAACTGGGTCTTCTGGTTGATGTGGCTGTACAGGGAATATAATATTAAATGAGCAAAAATCATAATGTTAGATAAAGCTAGAATGTGCATTGAAAATATAAATGTTTTTTGTTTCGATTGCATACTGTTGATCTATTACTGAGTTTCTCATGTCAGTTGACAGTCCGAGCTGCCAACTGATGGTTCACCGTTTGGTATCGCTGAATAGTGCTTGTCCAAAGAGCAGATACTGGTCTTTGCCTGCCATGCAAACCTGCGATTTGAATACGAGGGCTGTTTGTGACATAACATGTGCTAGGCAGACAGGCTGTCTTTATAATACGTGAGCTGTTCTAAATAGAAAATCTTTAACCTGTCTTTGCCAGAACTGCTACACATTTAAATGGTTTGAGAGAATATCTAAACCTCATTAATTAAAAATAAATTAACTGTCATGCCCAATGAATTCTGAGAGAATTTACATGGAGGAAATCAGCAGCAATCTTTCATGCTATGGGCCCATATTGTATAGCTGGGATAAACATCTGCTCAATGCCTCATAATGCGAGAATAAAAAGACTTAATGAACAGCAAAATGACAGAAATAAAAATGTGCCCTTTTTCATAAATGCAGAAACATCTTCCTGGTTCTATCATGAAAAAGAGCCCTGGTGGTATCGTTCCAGAAGTTTCCTAATATAACCGGGCTTTGCCAATCCAGGATCAGCAGCCATACTTGGTGGACTTAACACGAAACTCAATCTAAAAACAATTAATGATTTGCAGTCACACCTGTGTGCTTAAACATTTCCTGTTACCAAGGGAAATGTCCCTCCACGGTTAGATGGTAATGGAGAGAGGTAGCTCATCTGCATAATAAGCTTTAACGGTTGTAAATCACCATTACAGCACCTTAGGAAGAGAAAATGCATTGATGCTGCACAGTGAATCAGCCACATGCTGAGACACTGACTGTATACGTGTGTGCGCGCGCGTGTGTGTGTGCATGGGTACTCTGCACTCTTACTGCGTATGACTCATGCACAGAGATACCCTCGCCATTAAGTCTGAAGAGATAAACATTCCATTTTCCTTCCTTTCTGTCATTTCCTCTTTTGCTCCGTCTCACTTTCTCAACCCTCGATTGCCACGCCTCGTGTTTTGTAGACACCGTGAGACTTTGCGTCACGTCGTTGCATTTGGTCGTTCATTCACAATAAAATTTGCCAGACAAAAAAACCACAGAGACAGAAGGGAGAGCGAGAGAGAGAGCCTCTCAATGACCCTCTTGCATAAACAGGCGCGTATATTTCCCCCCCCTGCCTGCGGGTCTCTTCCTCTTTGTTCACAGTAATGGCACTAAAATGAAACACTGTGCTCTTGTTTACACTCTCGATCAGAATTGAATCTCGCCCTCGTTTCCATCTCAGGGACCTCTAAATCTTCATTGTCTGTTGTCTCCACTGTATTTTCTTTTTCAGATACACAGACAAAGCTGTAGCTCACTTGTTAGTTCCCACAAGGGTGCTTTCAGCAGAATTGTGGGAAACTACTGTTTGCACAATTGCATAATGTACTGTTATCACGTGTCCCACAGGTTCCCCTGAGATCCAGCAGCTCAACATGTATATGCTTGGTATTAAGTGATATGGTTTTATGTTGCAGAATATACAAAAATATCTTGAAATAGAACTCATTCTAAATGGGCATTTTAGAGAAATCAAATATGCAGAAACAGCTTCAGAAAACCTATAAAGGTCAAGAATGATGTCTCTATCACCACACATGCTTATTAACAGGTATCGATTTCTATGGATCTCCAGGTATAAAAGGAAGAGAGAATTTTACTTACTCTACGTAGTATGTGCCAAATTGTGGATCCTCAATCTTCTCCCAGCCATAAGGCAACTCTGTGGAAAGGGGAAAAAAACAGACAGGGAAAAGGCTGACTCAAATCACTTAAGATACTGCTGAGGCACTACATGGACAATTGGACACACTCAATGAAGTGTGGTGTTTTGACTGGCACCATCACAGCATGCTTAGCTACACCTACAGAACAGGAGGCCTTCTTTTTATTTGTCACTATGTGTTTAAGACTTGATACACACTATGGAGGAGGAAGGGGAAGACGGGCGGGAGGGGAGGGGGACACACACACCGTGTGTTGTTAGAAAGCCTCCCAGGAAAAAACAACAGCCCTTCCTTCCAGTGGTGTGTATGTGTTCAGTATCTCGGGTTTCTGCTGCTGTGTGACAAACACACGCAGCGCAGAGGAGATCTTTACGCAAGAGGAGCCATGGAAAATTGCCTTTTGAGAGATGCTGCACTGATGAGCTCTCTGCATGTGTCCACGAAACCATTAGGAGGAGACGGGCGGACTGAGGACTGGGGGTTTGTGCTGTGTCACCAGCATGACTGTGACCAGGAGCGCTCAGCTGTTCAGTATCCGTCTGTTAGCCAGCGCCCCCTTCAGAGAGGCAGGGATGCAGTTCATACACACAAACCCTTCAATACGACAAGGACTCGGGAAAAGTGTAGGTAGCATGTGAGCGGACTCGATGGCTGTAAGTGCCTGCGCGATTGTTATTAATCACAGAGCTAGCTCCTATTGCCTCACCTCCTTCGTCGCATTTCTCAGGTGGCTTGGCTTTCTTGGCAAGACGTGGGTCCAGCCAGGTGGTGGTCTTGCTGTTATGACTGTAATGTGAAAAAGATACAGGGCTTTAAGCACAGTTTAAATTATTTTTCAAATACTTAAGATGCCATTAGAGTTGAGCAATTAGCGCTTAGATCTCTTGGGAGCCACTTCACCCGGGGAGTGTTTTTCCATCTCTAGCAAACGAACAGAGCTCTCCCAAAACAGGATTATGACGACTATTTAATCTTTTGGGATCAAATACTTTATTAAATAACCTTTTAAAATATTAGTACAGTTTTAACAAAGCTCAGAGGACCGTTTGAGGCGTAAGGAAGATGAAAAAGAAAAAAAAAAGTCACAAATTACAGAAGGATGGAAAGGGATGACACAGAAAGATAAAAGAGTGAGCAGTTGTAGAGATCATAAAGAGCAGAACTAAGACAGCAGGTCAGGGGTGGCGAGCTCCATTTACCCTGTTGTTTCTCTCACTGGCAGAATGAGCTATTGATTTAGCAGCAGGCAGCTTTACTTGGCTCTCTCAGTGGCTCAGCATTGACTGTTTGCCACACTAACGGGCCAGGTAAACAATGTGGGCCTGCTGCTTTTAGCGGCAGCCAACAAAACCAACATCAAACGCGGGGGAAATAAAAGGAAAAACTTTATTGAGACTCAACTCCACTGCAACGGGCGAGTCTACAGACAGCTTCCATGTTCAGCACCTGCTGTTAATTCAGTACAGAGAGTTGCGCTGAATAGGGAGCAGAAAAAGTCAGAACTCTAAACATACTGGGTTAACAAGGCAGAAACAAAGAGATGAAGAAGAAACTGGGACTACAAGCAGTGGGATTAGAACAATGGTGATGTAATGGGAGTGTAATAGGACAAAAACAAGACAGGGAAGTCACAGTAGAAAGGCTACTCACTCGATGAAATAGACCATGCCGGTTTCTGTGTAGGCCATCTCCCAGTTTTTAGGCAAGGGCTCCTGACTTTCATCCTCTGTGTTCCATATACGCAAGTCCATGGCCCCAGCTGACTGGTTGTAGCTGGGCACTGTCTTCCTCCACTCTGCTTTGTCCTTGTGCTCTGTGGCCAGGCATGGGGAGAGGGACATGGGCATGGAGACAGAAATAGGAATGGGTTGGGAGTAGTGGTGTGGGAGATGATAGAAGGAGAAGGAGACAGGACGCGAGAATGTGGCGCCATTGGAGCTCCTCTGGGCTCCTTGCATTTCTCCCTGCTGCTGCTGCTGCTCGAGCTGCTCTTCCTCTGTACACTAGCCGGACTGTTACATCCAGAGGAGTGTAAGGGGAAGAGAGAGGGAGCGAGAGAGACAGAGAGAGTACACGCAAAGAGGACGGAAGAGCAGCAATTGCCATAGGATTTGCATGTCAGTAGTGATGTACTGAGAACTGCCTCCCAGGCAAGAGCAGAGTTGACCAATGTTTCAGCCCAGCCGGGAGCGCTACATCACAACTCTATTAGCATCATAGTGTTGCTTGTGCGTGAGGGTATTTGCCTGATCTTGATGTGTATGTGTGCCTGTCTGGGTGAGGCTCTTATCTGCAGGTTTCATCTGGCTGTGTGTGACCTAGCTTTGTCGTGGCATTGAATGCTCATTCTGTTTGACTGGAATAATGGAGTGGCAGGGGGAAAATAGTGACAACTGTTGACTGGAATAAGTCAAGAGCTCTTTGTACTGAAACCAGGGCTCTTTTTCATGATAGAACCAGGAAGATGTTTCTGCATTTATGAAGTCTGAATAAACGACTACACACAGACACTTGCTCTAGGGTACAGCTGCTTTCAGCCCTTTCAAAGAAATATAAACAGAAGAGCTGTTGCAAATTTGTGCAGGCAAGATTGCTAAAAAACCCCGAAATGACATGAAAGAAATGTACAATCAGTACTTAACTACATTCAAGGCCCAGAAATATGCCAGCTGCTACCTCTTTTAGTGGGCACTCTAAAACCATATGAAGATTTCATGTATTTTCAGTGAGACAAC